ATATAGACTTACTTTTCCGAGCGAAATGTATTCACCGTTTTGTAATTTAAGCAAATCTTTTCGGCGGTCAATGATTTTGAAGGTCCCGTCGGCGAACATCTCTCCAATATCTCCCGTATAAAACCAACGGACGCCCCGATCGTCCACTTTAAACGCCTCCTGTGTTTGTTCGGGCAGTTTATAGTAACCCATAACTATTGAGTCGCCGCCTATTAGTATCTCTCCCCTCGGGTTTGGCTGATCTGACCGGTGATATCCGCCCTATTTTTGGCAAAATCACAAGAAGTTAATACAAAAATAGGATATTTTATTGTTTTTATCAAAATAGATGTCCACTAACTTCATCCCAGTCGATGAGCTTGACTTTAACCCCCTGTAGAGGTGCGCCCACTCGACCGTAGGACAGGTCATGGAAGTCCATACCTGTCGATAAAATTCAATCAACAGATAGTAATTAATATAAACACATTTATGACATGTTTCGCAAATATATAATACATACAAAACACAGCGCCCATTGTCTCAGTCGCTCCGTAGCCTTCAATAAAAAAAATAAATATTTAAAAATTTTAAAACTTTAAAACTTTAAGAAATGTCTCATAAAGTCAGCGAAAAGCAAAAACAAAGACAAATAAGAAAACAATTTTTGTCATTGAAATAGTTTTCATGAATAAATTCATAAAAGTGAGCGAAAAATTCATGATTGAGATAACAAAATGCTAAATCATAAGCCAAGAGCACACATACCCTGCACTAGTATCACATCGAGCGCCGCTTTGATAGTGGCCTGAGTGGTGGCGTTGAGTGGAGCGCCGCCACAGATCATGATCTGCAGCCGACCGCCCAATTGTTGCTGAACTTTACTGCAGACAAGATTGTTGACAATATGACAGTCGTATCCCTTTTGAGTCCACTTTGATTTGTAGCCCATTATGTATGTGAAGAAGTCGACGGAGACGGGCGTCCGGGCGTTCAGTTTGTCGTGAACTTCTTTTATGATCCGATCCAACACCAGAGGAACGCATGTCATGACAGTTGGTTTCAACAGTTTTATATCACATTTTTGGCCCTTTACCAGACCCGGGGCCGAGTCGGTCAGTGTAAATGGCGAGGCGTACCCTATCCTCACACCCCCTGTGAACATACATTCAAATTATTAGATTTAATGAACTTTTAAATACAAATATAGTTGTATTGAATTGCAATTGAGATCTAAAAATGACAATACCATAGAAGAGGAAGAATTCAATGGTAAGCTCCAAGACATGAGCCAATGGCAGGAATGCTATATAAATATGACTCCGACTCTCTTGGATGACATCTTTGACGACGAGAAGTACGGCGTTGGCCGAGCCGTCGACCATTTGCCGATGTGTGGCGATCGCCGCCTTTGGAGTACCCGTTGTGCCCGACGTATACATTATAACGAACTCGTCCTCCGGTTTCGGTGTTTGAAACTGAATGTCCGACATCTGAGTGCCGGTGCGCTCCACCTCTTGCAGGGACTGGAGTCGGATATTGTCGGGAAAGCCATTGACTTGAGAGCTAGTGATGTCTTTCTGGAGATTATTAGGATTTATATAAACGATTGTCTGAACGGTCGGTATTTTAGTGATTAGTGAACGTATTTTTGGCATCAAATCACACGACACTATCATTAGTTTGATTTCTGTTTGATTTATACCGTAAACGATTCCCTCGTCACCTG